TTCTAATGTGAAGATTGCGTTTAGCGCTAATTTACATGACACCCTTTTATGGGATTGTTTTCGTTTGAATTTAAAAATTTGATAACCTACCTACTTGAGCACAGGAACCTACCTAACTACTTAAACTAGGTTGCCAAATCACGAATGATCTGGTGGTTTGATCGCAGACAAGCGACTCTGAACCTTTCCAGCGTGGAAGTCTTTCGCTCCTTGAGTGTTTGAAGACCGGTTAGGTGGTGAATCTCAGAATTACGAGTTCGCGGTGGACTGTTAAGGATCATTCTGAGGATCTTGTTTTGGATCCTCTGAAGCTTTAGGTGGTGGCACTTAGCACAACTCTCCCAGATTGGCATACCATACTCAATAGTCGGTAGAATGATCTGCTTGTGGAAAGCAAGCTTGTTTTTGAGGGACAGGGTGGACTTCCTGTTTATCAGAGGGTAGAGCGATGTTGCACTTGGTGGATGTTTTGTCCACATGGGATCGGAATAGCAATTTGCTATCGAGGGTGAGACCAAGGTAGACTACTTCACTCGACCATTCAATGGGAGTGCTATCAAGATGGATCTTGACGTTAGCAGGCGGAACAAGCCGAGGTGAATACGAGTGTGGAAACAGAATGGTTTGTGTTTTAGCTGCATTGATACAAATCTTCCAGCTCTTAAAATAGTCGGACAAAACATCCAGGCCTGATTGTAGTTTACTCGCCAGAGCACGGATCACTCGATCCTTATAGATGATGGAGGTGTCATCTGCGAACATTGACAGGATAACACCATCCGGCAGGGGAGGAACGTCTGACGTGCAAAAGTTGAATAGGATAGGCCCAAGCAGGCTACCCTGAGGGACCCCTGCATCAACGTTTAACGTATCAGAGGGGATTTTGTTCAAGTAGACCTGGAATGATCTGCCTGACAAGTAGTTTTTTGATGATCTTCACGAGGTAGATCGGAAAGTTGTATCGATGCAGCTTGTACACTAGACCATCATGCCAGACATTGTCGAACGCCTTCTCAACGTCCAACAATGCCATGGCAGATGTATTGGAAACGGACTCATTCCACTTGATGATGTTAGTAACCCGTGCGAGTTGGTGGATGGTAGAATGGCCTTTCCTAAGCCAGATGAGTTCGAAAAGGGGGCATGAAGTATTTCGCCTCCTCGTGGTGTGCCCTGGAAACGTTAATTATCGAACCCAAGGGAGAGATATTGCGGCTAAACGAACTACCGCAGAGTAAGGACGCTGGAACCCCATCCAGCTCGTCCCAGGAGGTTGAGAAGCTCTGCACAAACCCTCGTTGTGCAAAGGCAGGAGTGACGCCGGGTTCTTAGAGTGCTTAGCACACGCAGCTGGTAACCGGTCACATCTGTCCTAAGCTGCCCTGTTGGACAGTTGGCTGGCTATCACGTCTGCTCTAGAACTCGGGCGAACAACGAACAGCGAACAACAAGAGGAAGGCCATGCACAGCTGCTCACTGTGCAGTAGCGAGTGTCACGTCGGACACAACACCAAGTGATGCGCCATAGCGCAACCGGCCCCCTCCCATGACGTAATGCTTTCGGGCGGTTCCGGGGAGGGCAAGGGCCTAGAGCACAGGGTAAGGTTTAGTGGGTCGGGAGAGCTATTTCTCCCATCCCCACACCCTGAGTTATCTTCTCAGGAGTCTGGGAGCAGATTCCCCCCTGTATAAAAAAAAGCCCGATGAGTTGAAGCTAGACCGCAGCGCTCTTTTATATTTTTTTCAGGATAAAACAGAATGATGTCCAACCAAGTGGTACTCGATTATGGCGACTGGGTTTGGGAAGAACGTTTATTTCATGAACACAGTGATAGAATTATCACTTTTTATTTGTAAATTGAACAATGCTTGACATTACCACTTTTTTAATAGTTTCTTGTTGAAAATCATCAGTCGAAAGCATTGCTATTGATGCGTAGAAATATTTATGATCGATTGGGTATAAAATTACTGAAATTGGTCCAGGGGCAGCTGAGTTATTAATGTTCAAAATCTTGCATAATTTTGTTACATGTTCCATTTTCGGTTTTCACAAAGTGCAACCCCATATAGAAATCACAGACGTAGTCCTACGTCAAAAGTGACTTTTTAGTGACTTACTTGGAAAGAGTAACCTAGGTTATAAAAAGTGGTGGAGGCGAACCAGTCTCAGGCTGAAAGCCTCTTTAATAAAGATGAATCAATCAATCAATTATAAAAAGTGACCTGCTAATAGAACTCAATTGTCATAGGTACAACAAATAGTGTAAGGTTCAAATCAAATCGTTTTTCGATTCCTAGGTAATTCACCCGTTGGCTACCCTATTTGGCCATTTGAGCACTCAATTGTGAAACGTCGAAAAAGGTTTCGATTTTGGCACAGTCGTGATTTTGGCTACATAGATGAAGCCGTTGTAAATCACCGTAGACACGATAATTCCGTAGCACCCATCGACGAGCCCCTCTCCACTATGTAGCAACACAAATCCAAACAAACCCCCAACTACCATTCTTGTGCGTTCCATTGCATCAATGTATAGGAAGGCAGTCAAACCTAAACCTGCTTATATTGACGCACATAGGAGTATTTGATCCTAAAAGTTGGCCAAAATTCCGATATCTGAAATCCAGAACAACATGTGAAAAGGGCATACAAGCTTTTTGCAAACAAACCTTTGTAAGCCCTTTTCTCACCAACCGAGGGTCGCCCACGCAAACCAGCAATATCATCGGAAAGGGTAAAGTGCCCCCTACCCGGTGATGTTAAAGGTTTGCGTTGGTGTCATATGGGTGGCGAGAAAAGGGCATAAGAAGGTTTGTTTACAAAAAGCTTGTATGCCCTTTTCACATGTTGTTCTGGAAATGCCTAAATCCCACGGTTTTATTTATAGTAACAACATATCGTAGCTATCTCACAGTTACCATTGTGGACCTGCATAATGCTCTTCTAAACCCACCTAACTATGATTATTAGAAGATCTTGAGTAATCACTTGGTCGTTTTTAGAAGTGCATCCCCATACGGAATAGTAAATTATGTTTTTGCATAGTTATTCCAAAGGGTACCACCCAGAATGATTTTCAACAGCTTCCAGGTACAAGCACATATAATTAACACCTATGTTGTAGAGGAAAAACAATGAAAATTTTATCTAAAAGTATGTAACATTGAATTAACGATTCAGTTACTTTCCGGGTTGTTCTCAGAATACATTTTTTCACCAAAAACAAAGATCAAACTCTTTGCAACAAAGTGCCAGAAGCAAATCTTCCTCCTAAGTCTTCTTTGTAATTTTATGGACAATTTTCAAAAAAATGCTGGTCTTTAATTTTTAGAAGTCCTGTGCATTGTAGTTTTCCAGAGTCTAGAACATAATATTGGTCTAGGTTTAGGGTATTTTTATGATAGATAATGAAAAAAATATGTAAACGTAATTAGATAAATCATGAAAAATACAAATTGCACTTTTAGGAGGAATGATTTTTTTATTCATACAATTTTACAGATATTGCTGCACATATTTCTAGCAAACATTGAACCAATTTCAACAATTTAGAGTTTTGGCCAAATTCTTGTAGCAAATACTCCTATGTGAGACGGTACGACAAAAAAATCTTACCACGTACGTATGCTACTTCATGCACAGCTGAGCGACCCAAGGGAGAATCGCCGACCGGACCGGACCGGAGCGATTGAGTGGGAGAGCGCGAGAATCGTCGATGAATGGTGAGATTATTTCGAACGAGCGCGAGAAGAGTAAAGTCAACAGCAGTCAGGCGAACATCGGCAGTACGCAAAACGGGGCACAATAATAATTAGTCAGTCAAGTAGAATCAGTTGTTGAGTATGGTCGGACCCTGATCCTGCTCTCCTGCAAGTGGACTCCACACAAGTAGTCTGTCTTCGTTTCGTTCGTTCGTTCGTGTGTGCCTTCGTTCGGTTTTTTTTGTTTTACTGTTTCTCCTTAGTAGTATTAATACTATTTTGTGTGCATCTTTTTTCCCGTTCGTTGTGGTCGTCTTTTCCACTATTGAGGGGGGGCAAAGAGGAGCAAGAAAGATACACAGACAGACGGACAGACAGTGAGGAGAAGAAGGAAGAAAGAGAAGTGTGGGATCCAACACTGTGCTGCCGCACCGCACTGCTCTTGGTTTTCGCTTATTTCCTTTTTATTTTGATTTCGTCGGTTCTGAACGTCGTCGTCGTCGTAGTCGTTGGAGATTTTTTGGGGGTCCATCTCGCGCCGCCATCCCAATTTAGTGTGGAGTGAAACCTTCGTCGTGATCGCGCGCGGTCGTCGTCACGTTCGTGAAGAGAAGTGTATGATTCGTGATCGTCGTCCGTAGTGTCGTGACACACGGCTCTAGAACAAGGCTGTCGTTAGAATTTTCTGACGATCACTTTCCCACAGTCGAGTTTGGTGTTGGAGTTGAAGCGAAATTCACCGTAGTGCAGCTCTCTTTGCGCGCCTCCCACGAGCAGAGGGGAAAGAGGGAGAAAGAGAGAGCACGAAAAGAGCGGTGGAGCGGTGATTGAAAACAGAAAACATTAGTGCAAGCCTGGGCGAAGAAGGCGGAGGAAAGGAAGGAAGAAGGATAAGTGTATGCAATAGAGAAGCAACAAAGAGTCGTGTTTTATTGTGCACACCGTCGGGAAAAGTGTGTGAGAAGAGAAAAAAGAAGGAAATTCGCCATAATTGAGAGTTAAGTCGAATCAAGTGGAAGGCCTGTGGAAGAAGTAGAAGAAAAGGAAGAGAAAGAGTAAGACAATTTTTGCTCAATTAATGATTTTTTTCCCTTTCTGCGGCGTGCAACGTAATGCTATGGTAGAGTTAGAGTACACGACTGCTCTCTTTCTCCGCGTTGAGTGAGCCAAGGCGCAGTGATTGAGTGAACCAGGGGGAGCCGGAAAATTGCGTATTTTGAATTTGGCCAAGTCAAATTTGGGAAAATATAAATAATCGATCACGGGTCGTGCGCGCTGGGAAACTCGCAGCGTTTGTAGGATCAAAAAATCAAGTGCCTTACCAGTCATGTACGACGACGTTGTTGGCTGCGCAGCGCGATAGGAGCGGGGTATAAATTTAAAAATTAAATACTGCAAGCCGAGCTGGTGTGTAAAAGCGAAGAAAATTACCCCGAAGAAAAAGAATATTTTAAACAGCCATACACACAAACGCCGACGAGACACGGGTTATTCGCCAGAGTTGACGAAAGTCGGGAGAATAAGAAATAAAGGAAGCAATATTAAGAAAAGCTAATTTTATCGCTTAAGTAAAGTTGAAAAGACGGAGAAGCCAAGTCAGACACACTGCTGAAGTATCTCCACAGCGCGAGAATATCGGAGACGTAGAAGAAAAAAAAAACAACAAAAATAAAACTAAAAGCAACACAACTAACAAGGCAACAAGTATAACAAGAGACAGACGACGAAAGCGACGTGTGCGAACATACACACATTCTCTCGCGCGCTCATTCGCGTGCGCTGCGCTGCGCTGTGCTGAGCCGAGCTGAGACGAGCCGAAACGAGCTCTCTTCTTCCTACTGAAAAACTGCACACGGGCAGCGACGAGACAAAACACACAAGATGGCGTTCAACAACAGCAACAGCAACAACACCAACAACACGGCCAGCAACACCAACACCTCGGAGGAGAACGATGGGGCCAATAAAAAGAAAAACCTGATAATTCTGGTGGATAAAGACTCGAACGATAAGTTGAACGAGCTGTTCGATAAAACACTCAGCAATAAATTACCGTTGCAAATTCCCTACCGTATGCGAAAGTTGCCAGACTCGTTCTTCAAGCCGCCGTCCTCCGGGTCCAAGTCCCCCTCCGTGTCACATTCGCGAGAAAATTCGGCCGATTCGGCATTCGGGTCCGGCACAACCATACTGGGCGGGGTCACCACCGGCCCCAACGGACTACCGATCCATCACAGTCGGGCCCACAGCAGTCCGGCCTCGTTGGGCAAGATCCCGGCCGGTTTGGTCGCGAGCCTTACGGCGGCCAGCCAACAGGCGGCGGCCAACAACAGTAGCAATGTAAATAGCAATAAGACACAGCAAGGAGGCAGCAGTGGGGACGGGGGAGCATCGGCCGTTGCCCAACAGCAGCAGCAAGCACAGCAACAGGCTCAGCAGCAAAGTCTCACCAGACAGGCCATTCTGCACAGCCGGGGACGCTCGTATGACGTGTCCAACCAGCATGCCACCTACGGGGAACTGCCGCCCGGTTGGGAGCAGGCCAAGACGCAGGACGGCAGGATCTACTACATTAAGTAAGTACACCGAATGGGCATTTTGTACATTTTGTGGAGGTTATTCACGCCAGAATTATGCAATGTTCCGGGCATGCGAAACGTTAGCGACTTTCGTAAGGAGTTCAGCCAATAGGGAATTTTGTTTTGGTAAACAAATGTAGAAGTGCTCAAGGAAGCATACAATTTTATTTAAACATGTCTTGAGAACACCTAGGCATGTCTAGTAGGTTGCGAGAGAATGTCTAGTAGACATGGGAATAAATCACGGTCACCAGAACTTATTCTTCTTCTTCGCATTTTAGCTTATTGCGTGTTCTCAACTTAGTGTTCTAGATGCACTTCCACAGTTATTAATTGAGACCTTTCGATGCCAGTACCATTTTTGCATTAGTATAATTGAGTGACAAGTACAATCATACTCTATGCCCAGGGAAGTCGAGACATTTTCCAACCCGAAAAATTCCTAGAAATTAATTATTGCGGTTAAAAAGATAAATTTGACCGAACTGCGGTTGTTTCGACCGCCAAGTTCAACCGCACTGGACTGCACTGAAAAAATGAAATTATTTTTTTTTATTTAAGGTTTGAATTTAAAATGATAAATTCCAAATAAATTAATATTTGAATGTCAAGTGTTAAAATTTACGTATGTACTTTGATACTACATTTTACACTTTTAATAGATTTACATTTAAACAATTTCCATTTAACAAATTTTCAACATTTAGTATGAAACATTTGAAATAAAATTTCTGGAATGACAAGTATAACATAATCCATAACATAGTCCATATTCAGCATAGTTTTGTAGTTAATTTTTTATAAACTACATTGAACAAATTACATTCAATATTTACTATTTATTGTTATTAGTATCATTATTATCATTTTATTTTAGAGGCTTTAACATTTAAATATCATTCGTCTCTTATTTATCGTTTATCATATAGCATTTTACATTTAGAATTTATCATTCATAACATATAATTTAAAATTGAACATTTAACAGTTTATATACATCATTTAACGTTTACTATTTGACATTATTAATTAATTTTTAATTTATTATCCTACATTTAGCATATCAATTTTAACTATTTGAATTTAAAATTTAACATTAAAGTTTAAACTCGGCTCCGTAAAGCTAATGCGATTGAGCCTTACAAATAAACAAACTAGAAAAGAACATTAAAAGTTTAAATTAAAAATTTAATAATTATAATTTGAAATTATAATTCAAAAAATATAATTGAGGGCGATAGAAAGAAAGGGGTGTAAGTGACTTAGATCGATTCTCTTCATCGACTTTCTCTTTTGATAGCCACAGCTTTATAAACAGATTTTGCGCTATTTCTGGCACATAGTTTGATAAAGAAGGTTCTCATCTAGCATCCAGAATGGCACACGAATCAAGGAATGTGTTTGCAGCTGAATTATTGACGAACGAGAAAGACGATGATTTCCTTCTAACCCCCTCAATTTAAATAGAAAATTCAAAATTGAACATTCAATATATGTATTTAAAATTAAAAATTCAAACGTTTCAAATAACAAATATTAACATTTAAAACATTAAAATTTGAAGAAAAAAATTCGGCATCTAAAATTTAGAATTTTAACATTTTAAAGGTTATATTTAAATTCATCATTTCGCGTAATATTTGAAAAGGGCCTATCCTCGTTGATCGATTCTCTTCATCGACTTTCTCTTTGGTTTACCACGGCAACATAAACGAATTTCTCGCTAAGCTCGCAGCACAGTTCGACAGAAGATGATGTTGGCTTGCGTCTAAAACGCTGTACAGACTGGAGAGTTTTAACATGTTATAACGGTTGTCAAATAATTGCAACACAGAAACCACCATCAAGATAGCACTATAACATGTTATAACTCTGTAGTCTAAACATAAAACAACACACTTAATGGGAAATTCATTTGCAGTCTGGTTATTCGCTATATAGAAAATCGATGAAGAGAATCGATCACCAATGATAGGCCCTTTTCTCGTGTTGCGCGAGATTTAACAATTTACATTTAACCTCGCATTTAATATTTAACATTATTTCTCACGCAACACGAGAAAAGGGCCTATCATTGTTGATCGATTCTCTTCATCGATTTACTCTTTCGCGAATAACCCGACTGCAAATGAGTTCCCATTCGGTGTGTTATTTCAGGCGCAAGCTAACATCATCTTCTGTCGAACTGTGCTGCGAGCTTAGTGAGAAATTCGTGTATGCTGCCGTGGTAAACCAAAGAGAAAGTCGATGAAGAGAATCGATCAACGAGGATAGGCTCTTTTCAAATGTTACGCGATATTTGAAGTTTGGGGTCGATTTTACTTTAAGATTTTTTTAGTGTACAGCAGTTTGACAGCTGCGGTACTGACTTTTCTTCTTCAGCTTCTTTACTCCGGCAAATGAGAAGTTTTCTATGGATCAGCAATATGCAAAATGATTTGAAAACACTGAACAGTTCCACGCCAACTGACGAATCGATTTTTTCTCTCCTCCCGGCATTCCATGAAACTTCGCATAATTGTTCACAATGAACCAAGTTTGTGCCTTAATTTTTTTAAATGAGGTATTCGATATTTTTCCATAAATTATAGCCCGAAAACGGCTCAACTAATCGAAATGACGTCTGAGACAAAGTTTCAGAAAACTGGATTGCTTTTTCAGAGATGGGTTCTGGTTGTGCCTTGTGTTGGGGTCAGTAGTCCGGGATTTGGTACGCATGGATCTTGGTCAGTTTAGGGTCGGTAATCCGGGTTATGGTACGGGTGGTCGGTCCATGACGAAGAGGAGGGTGCCACCGACCGGTAGCAGGCTTTTATGAGGGATCCGCTGCCGGCAGCGAGCACCGAAGTGGTAGTTATCAAACTAGGTGGAAAAGTTCTACCTCTTTAAGAAAACATAGTAGAGCAGCGGTCCGGGTTGCGTCATTGCTGAGCGCGTCGTTTACACTGCTTGGAATCCCGTAAAGCTCTCTTGCTTCCTGGTATTTGGCAGTGACATAGGAAATGCTCAACAGAGTGATGAATGTGGCATAGAAAGCAGGTCTTGTGGAAATCACCGTTTCCACTGAGGTTGTGGGGAAGGCGAGTGTGACCAGATCTTAGGCGGGAGAGGACAATTTGGTAGCCATGGTCTGCTGGATCCTCCCATTTGCCCGTGTCTCCTTTGATTTTCCTGTTCCCTTTTCGAGTCCCTATTCCTGGCTTCCCAAGTCTGAACCAGGGACTTTACGCGTGTACAGGCACATATGTCTACTAGAGGACGCGAGGCGATCAGCTTCCACATTGCCCTGGATTTCTCAGTGGCTGGGTATCCAGTGGGGTGTTCGGCATCAACGGCGGCTACAACACTGGCTGAGTCGATGAAAAGGACGATTAGTTTGCTTGATTGAGTGGAGATTGTAAACAAAGCGGCGGCGCACAGTGGGACGAAATCAAAAATAGTGGGGAATGGCTATTTGCAACTATTGAGTGTAGCATTTTGATGTCTTTTCGAATGTTAGTGAGTAATGAACATTTTTGATTAAGGAGGGTATACACTAAGATAAAAAAATAACTTTTGTATGTCTTGTCTTGATGAACACCTATGGAAACATTGTAGATAAACAAAGTCATTTTAAGAAACTTTGCCCAAAGCGTCAATTTTCTATCTCTTAAGTGGATGAAGTTATTTGGTTACAAAGTTGGTTGGTATTCTCAATCTAAGTCCGAGTGTTGATGACATTTAAGCAATATTTGGATTTTTGGTAAGCAAATGAATAGGATCGTTCCGCTTCCCATATCAAATTTAAAATTTGCCCAGTTGTTGGCGACCAGAATAAGCATTGAAATAGCAGCGGGGAACAAACCCTAATGTAAACATTTGGAAAAATGGTCATGAAAACAGCAATACGTAACAAAACATTGAGGTATTTTTTAAGAAAATTTATTAGGTATCCCCTTGGTTCCCCCTATGAATTGTATATGTAACAGTAGAGTACAAGATGTTGAACAAAATAACGTTGACAGATAGCGTTAAATATTATTAAAAAGGGACTTAAATCTTTTAAACAAAGAGATAGCGATTTGTTTTTCGAAGCAAAAATGTGAATTTTAAGAGTACTTACAGCTTTGTAGAACAATTAAAAAAAATAGTAAAATTCAAACTAAAATTTATGATAAAAAAACGGGTTTTAAGGGGTTTGTACTCCATTTTCTACCTATAACTTCGTCCACTTAAGAGATGCAAAATTGACGTCTTGGACAAAATATCTTAAAATGACTTCATTTACAATGTTTCCATAGATGATCATCAATTTCAACGAGACATAAAAAAATATTTTTTATCTTAGTGTATACCCCCCTTAGGTAAACTTGTTTCCACTGCAATAAAGTATTTAAAAATTGAAGAAACATTTAAGAAGACATCAAAATGCTACACTCAATATTTTCGTCACAAATGGCCCTGTCCCTCTTTCTTTGATTTTGTCCCACTGTGCGGCGGCGGTGTTTTGTTGCGGTATAACCATGGTGGACGTCGACAAAGACCGGTGGCCATGGGTGCAGATGTGGGCGAACGAATTTTTCTCCGCCGACAACTGAAATCCGGCACCAGATGCCCAACGACGCACAAACTTAACGGCCTATACCACTTCCGTCCGGAGGATTTTGATAGCATTCCTGGCGGCCATAATGCCGATATCGTCGGCGTAGAAGAAAATAAAAAATACCTACTGGGTGATCGCAGAATACACCATTCATACTGACAAGAAATAAGGTAACCGCCAGTACCGATTCCTGAAGTACGCCGGTTTCCTCTCGGAAGGAAGCAGATCGATGGTGTTCCCGAACCTGGGAAGTGCGGTGCCGCAAGAAATTCCGAGCGAAATGAAGAGTATGTCCCTTGAGTCCCTTTTATCAAGGTTTTAAAGCGTGCTACAAGTCTAAATCATGGCCTGCAGAGCCCTAATAGAACCAAAATTGTTACTTGGGAAATTAATATGGAAAATGGAAAACACTATT